CTTTAGGAAAATCAAGGTGCTGTTTGGTATAGAGGAATAATAAAATTCAAGAAAATAATTATCTCCTGGTTTAGAACATAAGAATCGTGAAACTCTCATATTCCATGTCTAAAGCACTTTGGGATTTTTATTTTCTAATTTTTTTGGTGGGGACAAAGTGTTATTATGTCACCCAAGCTCACCTGGAAATCACCACATAAATCAGGCTGGCCTTGAACTCAGAGACATTGGCCCCTCTCCTCCTCTTAGTGTTGGGATTAAAGGCATGGACCATTGTGCTCAGTTTTTCTAGATTCAAAAAATTTCCAATTAGATATGTATGATGTATTGTAATAACAACTAAATAACAACAAGAAAATTAAAAAAAATAGCTAAGATTACTTTGAAGCTATCATTTTTCATAAAGCATAACCTGGATTTTTTAAAATGTCAGGTTTAAATAAGGTAATCTATATTTCATATGTGTCTATCACTCCCAATTTCCATCCACTGTACTTGTGGGGACACTTCAAATCAATTACCACTTGAAAGTATTTTGGAAGTATTTCTTGAGTTAGAAGTAATTTTTAGAATAAAAAGACACATATAGACCCCCCTGTTAGTTGTCTTTCAGATATCTGGAGAAAAGAGAAGTAACAGTGATAGGAGAGATAATTTTCAGCAGTTTCTCTGTTGATACTTTAATTCTCTCATTCATCGATGCCTGTTTTTTAAAAAGCATCTCTTATACTTCAAAGACTGAGGGACAGTAAGGCAATGTAATCATTGCTCCTATAGAGCTCCCAGTGAGTGTGAAAGATAATAGTGCAAACAATGACTTTAATAGAGTGATTGATGACAAGTGGCAATCCTGAGCAGCAAAATAAGTAAAATAAAATAAAACTGGGGTGGGGTACGGCAGCCTGAGAGCTTGAGTCAAGGATCTTATCTTGGGAGAACTATCACTTAGACTTAGCATTCAGGGGTACTATCTGAGTGAAATGATGTTGTAGTTAAATGTAGCTAAATGAAGAGAAAAGTTAGTAGGAATCACACATGCACATGTGTGGAAAAGCTAAGCTCTCACGGGTAGCAGATGTAGTGTTTGTGGCTAGACCTTTGAATACCTGTGAAGAGTAGCAGGTGAACCAGAGAGGAGAGACAATAGTTAGAACACGATTCCAAAGGCGACAGGAAACCTTTCTGCTCTACCTAGAGAAACATGATTATTAAGTTTCCCTAACTGTCCCCAAAGTAACTATCTCCCTTGAAAAATCATCATAGGTATGAAGTGGACAGATTCACCTTTTCCTGACCAGCCATCAGTTCTCTATTTCACTTCATAATATGTAGGCTCAACTCAGGTTTTCACAACCATTTGTTTAAGTTAATAATCCAAGCACAATTTCTTCTCTTCAATCTTAAATACCAGGTGGTGTGATTGTGCACTGATGTGCATCTGTTATTTGGGAAATTACCACTATTGTTGCCCTCTGACAGATTGCTAACAGACACACAGGAGAGAGGTGCCGGGTACCACAGTCATTTCACTGCTTCCGTTAGCGTTTCCCTCCACCCCCGCCGTCAATGTCATTATTATTTTATCTGCTCCGTGTTAAATCACCATCTAATTATACACCTTCACGGTGACTTATGCAGTCAAGCACGTCTCAATCTTAAGTTCTAAAAGTAACTCCACTGAGTCAGCCAGAGTGTTTCCTTGACCTTCCTTTTCCCCTCTGGTTGTTCGGGATTTTTTTTTTTTTTTTTTTTTTTACAGCGATGTGCTCTGTGAGAGTTTGTTGGTTACTTGGGTAAGGTTGAAGAATACGCAGCAAATAAAACCACAATCTTCCATTCTCCCCATTCCCAAGTCAGGTGACTTGGCTAGTTTTCTAGTTTCTAATGCACATTTCTGCCAAGAAGGCAGTGAGTGACCATGTTTAAGCTGAAGGGTGACTCTTGAGCATTTCACTAAATACAATGAAATATAATGAAAATATTTTGTATTTGGGGGTCGAAGTTCTTTGCATCAACTAAACTGTATTTTGTAAGTTGTCAGATGATAAGAATTTGCTGTGGGATGATCTGTATGTCAAATTGCTCTGACTGGTCAATAAATAAAACACTGATTGGCCAGTGGCCAGGCAGGAAGTATAGGTGGGACTAACAGAGAGAAGAATGGAAAGGACAGGAAGGCGGAGGGAGACATTGCCAGCTGCCGCCATGACAAGCAGCATGTGAAGATGCCAGTAAGCCACAAGCCACGTGGCAAGGTATAGATTTATAGAAATCGATTAATTTAAGATATAAGAACAGGCCGGGCGTGGTGGTGCACGCCTTTAATCCCAGCACTCGGGAGGCAGAGGCAGGCGGATCTTTGTGAGTTCGAGGCCAGCCTGGGCTACCAAGTGAGCTCCAGGAAAGGCGCAAAGCTACACAGAGAAACCCTGTCTCCAAAAAAAAAAAAAAAAAAAAAAAAAAAAAAAAGATATAAGAACAGTTAGCAAGAAGCCTGCCACGGCCATACAGTTTGTAAATAATATAAGCATCTGTGTGTTTATTTTATAAGTGGGCTGTCTGACTGCCAGGGCTCAGCGGGACCCGGAGAGAAGCTCTTCAGCTACGAGAATCAATTTTTGATATCTAAGGATACAATGTCTTAAATTGTTTGTTGGCCCTAAATTATTAAAGGAAGATAATTTGACATGACTTCCATAAAATACCGTGTTTTTTTTCCCTGTATGTAGTTAATGACTGGAATTTGATACTTAGAAACTGTCTATTATAACTGACTGGAAAATTCCAGGCAGTATTTTAAAAAGGGATCCAGAAAGCACATTGATTTTGATGCTTTACATTAAGAATTTTAGTTGGCTAGACTACAAAGGTAACTCATTTCCTAGTGGTCCCCTGTATATTTCCAGGGGTTTCATGCCTTCATTTTTCACTTTTTATGCATTTTAAATCTGGTGCACTTATAACAATACCAAAGATTTTTATAAGTTCATTAATAATAATAATAATAATAATAATAATAATAATAATAAATCTCCTGGGATCATCACCTGTTCCCATTTATCAGCATTCGCAAGGAAAAGTGTTACATTTTTATTTTTGTTTCTCTTAATGAAAAGGCAGATGCTTGAACAGATGTTTCATAGATGTAGAAGATACACTGAACTTCACCAGTGAATGAATGCCCGAGTGCTCTCTGCATATACAACAACTGATACAAATTCTTGGCTTTCTTGACCATTACATTTCTTGAAACCAAGAAATTCCAATTATTTAACTCTCCAGCTAAGTAATCAATGTATAATGACAGCTCACAAAGGCACATCTGTTTTCATCCTTGTGTCTTTTTTTGAGAACAATTACTTAAGAATGGGAGGACACATGTGTGTGTGTGTGTGTGTGTTTCTATAGACTAAATTAGTACATACCCATAATTATTAACTGGATAAAGATCCGAGGACTCTGAGATTCATACAACTGGAAGTAGTAGTCAAAATTCAAACTCAGCTTTTGCTAACTTCTAAGCACATTTATCTCTTGCCCTCTTTATCAGCAGGAATATTTCCACACAAATTTCATGATGAAAATGTAAGATATGTTCTTTTATAATTTTATGAAGAGATGTTGTCCAAGACACTCAGGAAGGTAGCCACCATAACCTTAAGGTATCTGGCATCGATTAGAAAGAGAAAGCACTGGAACTCAATTAAGTTGATAGAGCCAAAGGGAATTTCAGATGTCATGTGTCCTTGGAAAAAAATATCCAATGGGTTTTGAGTCAATTTTCTGAAGATAAAAGTAGCCACAATGTGCTTATGCGGGTGACCAGGCAGTACCAGCGGTTTCTGTTGTATTCTAAGGTGACTTTTTTTTTTTTTGGTCATGATTTTGAACCAATGCCCTGTCTCTGGAAGCACCCTTCTCCTCAAGAGGAGTTAATCTTGTGAAGGCCACTCATTGCTTTTTGTTTGCAAATCTTTCTAGTTGTTGCTTGTCTGAAGCCACAACTCTCTGGGGACGTGGGAGATTACAGAGTGTGTCTTACAATTACATTTCAGACGTTTTAGCATCTTGCTACCAGTCAGCTTCACACAAAAACACTTGCTTTTTCAAGCAGCAGCGAGTGCTTTATCTTTTGAGAAAGGAAGGTGTTATTGATGTTTCATTTTAGTCTCTTGGAATTAATTAGGAAAGAAACAAAACATGATTTTTACTTGTTCCCCTTAATGAGTGCTCTTCCTTGTTCAAAAATCAAAGCTGAACAACTTCTCTACTGTTGCCTGAATTATTCCACCCAACCAGGCAACCCTTTCCCCATTTTCTCTTCTTACACATCCCTCATATCTCGTCAAGTATCTGTTCACTCAACCTTCCTCTAGTCATCCATTTATCTGTCCTTCCATCCATCCCTTCATTTCTCAGCACATTAGTCAGCCCCAGTGATCATTCAACTCACTGTATTTATTCATCATTGAAAGAATTTATAAAACAGTTGATGTTTTCATGTGCGTATATTTATTTCATTACAATAAAAAGTTATTACTGAAAATTTCCAATATTCAGCCCTATATATATATCCTGATGGTGCAAATATAAATTGATGCATACTCATAAAGATAATTTGGCAATGACTTTGAAAATTTAAAATGCATCTACTTTATGACCCAGTGAATTCACCAGCAATAATTCACTCAGTACTTGTTTGTATAGGCAAAGGCATATGAATAAAGACAGGAACAAATGTTGAACTACAGATAAACTAGACAACAATAAACATTTGCTAACAATAGGCAGCTATGTTCTTTTAAATTCAAGTTAAATAGTTTCCCAGTCTTAATCCTTTCAATATCATTTTATGTACTAATTAAAATAGACAAAATAATGACATTTCTTTGACAATTTACTTTTCAGGTAACAAACCTTTCTGCTCTATTCTTTCACTAAGTTTATATATTCATGAACTTTTTAAAGACTTAGTTGTTTTATGTGTATGAGTGCTTTACCTGCATGTACGTAAGTGTACCAAGTGCATGCTTGGTTTCTATGAAGGTCAAAAGAAGACACCAGACTCCCTGGAACTGGAGTTATGGATGATTGGGAGTTACCATGCGGGTGTTAGGAACCAAACCCAGGTCTTCTGAAAGAGAACAAATGCCCTCAAGCACTGAGCCATGTCTTCAAGATTCAAATACATGTTTGTATTTAACAAATATGATATTAAGCTCTTACTATATAGTTCGCAATTTTCAAAGCAATGTTTTTTTTTTTGTTTTTGTTTTTGGAGTGCATTATGACAAAAGACACATGAAACCTAAAATAGGCATAAAAATTTAGCAAAGTATATAGGACACAATGGGTGGTTTGGGGGAAAACGAGCAAGTGTTTAGAATTCAGGGGATGAGAGAAACAGAATTTTTTCCCCCGCTTCTGTCTCCTGATGTATTCTAGACTGGCCTTGAACTTGTGACCCTCCTACCTCAACTTTCCAAGTGCTGGGGTTATAGCACCACCATACACAGCCCTAGGATTAGGGGCTATTTCATTGAATATTTGGGCAAAGACATAAAGGGGAAGGCTGAGTTGGCCAAGCAGGTAGATAAAGCCTGTGAAGGCGGTAGGGTTGAAGGGAAGAATAGGCAAAGAATAAGAGGAGTCAAAGCCAGAGTAACAGGAGTGCGGGCCAAATGCAACCTTAGAGAACATTCTAAGGACTGCTGCTCTTAAGTGAGCTGGGAACTACTGGAGACTTTTGAGCAGAGACCACGTAGGCTCTGGTCTATGTGTTCAAGGGAGGATGTGTTATAAAAGAGATTACAGGACAGATTGTAGGCCAGAGATGGTGGCAACTTAAATAAGAGTGACAATAAAGACTGTCATAAGGTCACAAGGCCAAGAGTAGAGTTGGATGAATTTCCTAACAGGTTCGGTGTTAGATTTAAAAGCAAAGCATCAACCATGATTCTCTATCAGTTCAAATGAAGAAAACTAAGTGGACCAGATTGGAAAGGGAGATTGGATGTTCATTTTGGGATAACTTCAATGTAAGATGTCTAGGATCCATGCTGATGGAAGTTTAAAGCTAGAATACAGGACAGAAGTCTAGTCTAGAAATTAAATCTAAGAGTCATCGGCATATAGGGACTGTCTAAAACCCTGAAGCTGCATGGGATGGGAAAAGGAGTCCCCAAATCCTAACACTGGTAGTGGAGGTGAAGCCAGGCAGGACTGTGTGGAATGTCTGGTGGCGTAGGTAGAAAACAAATGGAGTATTTCCACCTCAGTGTCTTGTCCTAGCTCTGTGATAAAATGTCACACGTGTGGAGGTCAAGTAAATTATTTTTATTGTTGATTAAATTTACCTTTGGATAATTTCATGGAAGCATATAGTGATTCTATTTCCTCTCACTCCCCACCCTCTCTTACCTCCCTTCCATGCCTATTTCCCCACAGAGGTCTCTCTTTCACACCTAAGCAGTTTTGCTTTGTTTTATGGCACTCTGGTTTAACTTCTCATTTTCTAACTTCTCTATAAGCTAATGGAAGCAGATACAATTCAGTTTCATGTTTCTTTACCTAGATCAGAGAAGTACCTGGCATATAGTTCATGCTTAATAGATAACAGTTGACTGAAGGCAGGAAGCTTTAATGAGTAGCGTTACTATGCGAGGGTCTGGTTTGCTTGCTGTTCAACAGAAGCTGGATTAGTTGAAAGGAGCGAGAAGGACAGAGAAAGACCTCTATTACAACAAGGCGGTTGACCGGAAAATGGAGGACAGTCTCTCTAGAAGGGTCACCTTGCTGAGAAGCTGACTCAGGGGCAGTGCGTATCAGATATGGGATCTCAGACTTTCAGGCGCTCTTACAGACAGCTGCTTATAACCCGGTGACGCATATCAGATCATAACCAAATTGTTCCTCAGTTCTGCAGTCTCAAGTACAAAGATCATGAGTTCCTCAGGCTAACTTTGTCCATGCTACATTTGCCTGTGTGCAATTCCTGACATCTTACACAGCAGACAGGATGTGGTAAGCAGCTGCCCCCAGGCTCCATTCCTGACCAATAACCTCAAGGTAAGGACAGAAAATATACTTCATCATATTATTATGGAAGACAAGAGTCAGGGGGTTTCAACGGGGATCTGCTCTCTACCAGTGTTTACTGTTTTGATTATATAAACATTCATGGTTTTCGTATTTTGGTGTATTTTTTGGGGGGAATGTTTTGTGGAGCCCAGGATGGCCTTGCACTGTAGCTGGGGATGGTCTTGAACGTCTGCTCATCCAGTTTAGCTTACTATCCATTTTTTCCCCTGTGATACAAGAAAGCACTCAACCCATTGCTTTCTATTACCCTGGGAGTAACTGGGTATTGTAGATGTAGTTTTCCTGCCTTGTCCACAGTCAGGACAAATCTTGGTCACCCGCCAGTCCCACAGCCGCTCAGACCTAACCAAGTAAACACAGAGACTTATATTGCTTACAAACTGTATGGCTGTGGCAGGCTTCTTGCTAACTGTTCTTATAGCTTAAATTAATCCATTTCCATAAATCTATACCTTGCCATGTGGCTGGTGGCTTACCGGTGTCTTCACATGCTGCTGGTCATGGCGGCAGCTGGCAGTTGGCAGTGTCTCCCTGCCTCAGCCTTCCGCTTCCCAGAATTCTCCTCTCTCCTTGTCCCACCTACTTCCTGCCTGGCCACTGGCCAATCAGTGTTTTATTTATTGACCAATCAGAGCA